TTCCTCAAGTAAGATTCGGGCATTGGATACATTTGCTTTCATATCCAATATCAATCTGGCTAATGAATGAGCTGTTAAATCAGAGCCTAGCATGCACTTTTGCTTTATCTATGTGTGCAGGGCACTTCAATACTTGATGCTCAGGCACTAAAACAAAAAGGCAAAACATTACATTGAAATTGCAGAGTAGGATACAACGGATACAATAATGTGTTATAGGCAGCATATTATATTACAGAAGACATTGTACGAGTCGGTCTCAACTGATTACATACATTTAGTTGCAAGAAATAGTATCCCCTTTCTTGGTCAAGTGATCTTGCAACAGTTTTCTAGCATTCATAATTTACTAAAAGACTTAAGCCACGGAAAATTATTTCATGAAGCACTTTATTCCTTTTTTATTTAAGATCTGTTGGATCGGATAATCTTTAGGATACATAAAGCATATTGCAAGAAATCTTTGGCGCATTTCCTTTTTGTGGGACATAACAACCCAGTAGCTGCTTCAGAGAAACTTAAGTGAACCCAAATGCTCTACTCTTTTCCGTACAAGATAACTAATAATCTTACTAAGTGTGCAAATTATATAGTGGTAGGAGTAGCCACCTACATTTTGGAGTGCCTCTCATATCTCCTCATTGAAACTTGGGACTTTTGGATAAGAGTAACTCTTGATGGGAGTTTGGGCTTGTGAATAGTAGCAGTATCAAAGATTGAGTTAGCCCATTTTTGTTTGTAGTCTTGAATTTATTAGAAAAGTTAGGGATTGGTACCCATGTCCATGTCTTCTTTTTGAAGCTTCAGTGAGACTAGAAGTGCCATACAAAAAAGCACATTTATTTATATTTTAAAAACTGGGTGTGAAAAAGTTTGTAGGTTCCTCTAATATGCTCTGACTTATTCAAGAAATGTAAGGGACAGGCAAATACTGTTCCCATACCACTTAGTATTAGAAGAAATTTTACTCTTCTTGGATGAAACTGAGGCTTCACAATATGACTATATGATCTTGAAGGTCATCCAGCAAAGATGCCATTAGCATAACATGTTCATTCATGACTCTGGCTGAAATCTAGCTCATCCTCTATCATAGTCCTTCTTAACATATCTAGGAGGAGATCAAAACTTTCTGCTTTCATTTGGAAATTAACCACAGCTCCCTGTGTCATCCAAACAACGGGAAATAGTATTTTTATCTAACTGTTGTTTGGTGTCCTAGTTCCTTAAAGATCAGAGTTCACAAGGGACTGTAGATAGGTAACAAAGAAGCCAAACCCTTCAGAACGAAGTGAAACATATAATTGGTTGAAGCATTACATTATGCCTCCAAAGGCCAGGTTTCAAATCCCTGCTTAGCCATAGAAACCCATTGAGCGATGTTGGATAAATTATACTCACTCAACCTCAGAACAAGACAAAGGCAAACATCCACTGAACAAATTTTACCAAGAAAACCCATATTAGGGTTACCATAAGTGATACAGTACTTGAAGGCATACAACAATAACAACAGCAACAAGCTTCATTGTTCCTTGCAATTTAGAAAGTTATTTTTAAATCTCGGACAAGATTGTGGTTATTCATAAATTGTATGGAGGATGATTTACATACAACCCCACTCTGTTTCTTTAGTAGATCCCCAGATTAAAACGCAATCTGAAAATCAACTTCAGTTGTTCCAGCATCTTTGCAGGCAGATCAACCCAATTCCCAAAGAGTTCATCCGAGATGTTGCTGGATGAGATAGAAGCTGGTTGAGGAGACTGATTCCCATCACACAAATACTAGGAAACTGAGATTTACGCATGGAAAGATAGCTGTAAGATTCCCCCTGTCAAAATCTAACCCCCTGAGATAATTGCTCTTAAAGTGTTGTAAGGTTTTATGTTCAGTTGACCCTCCATATGCATAGATTCTGCATCCATGGATTGATCCATTCACAGTTTGAAAATATTTTTAAAATCAGCCCAAAAGTGAAGCTTGATAAGGGATACCATTTTATCATGCCATAATCAGATTTCAGTATCCAAACCCCTGTGGATATCAAGGGGCCCACTATGCACCTCATCAGAGAGCTCAAATTAAGCGTCCTGGGATGCTTAGAGCCATCTTGGGGGATGGAGCCCCACTGCAGCCATCAGACATCTACATCTGTGGCTCCATTTCAAACATCCTCCAACTGCGGAAAAGTGTTGCCAGACACTTTCCCTGGCAACACAGGAGGCATCCCGTGTTGTGCTGACTCCAATGGAGTCAGCACAGGGTGTCTCTGAAAGGGCGATGCTTTCCCCATATGATGAGGAAAGCATCGCGAGAGGGAGCTGTAAACAATGCAACAGCTTTGCCCCACAGCTCCCTCTTTCCTTCCCAAAGGCCAGGTAAAGTGGGTCGCTTCGCCTGGCCTTTATGATCAGGTTGTATAATTTTTTGATAATTATTAAATAAATCATAAGCAAAGTAGTGTTTTACCAAGTTATTCAACTTGTTTATTATTTGCCGTTAAGAACTCCACCATCTAATTAACACAGATTCTCATACATAAAATTTCATGATCTTATTATAGAAATTCAGTATAAAAATATCTGGAGCAGCTTCCTCTTTATTTTTCTTTCATTATGTCATATTCTAATGTGAAGCATGATCTGAAATTAACTGACTCTTCAACCATTTTTTTCAAAACAGAATAATTCATCTCAATACACTTTTGGCAGCATTTTGCATCCAAGTACTTGGCAATTTCACACTGATTAATTTTATTTATTGTTGTTTCTGAAATTACTATACAAGTTGGGGAGTGTGGTAGCATTTATACCAATTACACTATATTTCTGTCAGTACATCATATGTCAAAATTGCGAGTGCTGTATCACAAGATAATAAATGGGGATCTAGAAATAATTCTGAAATAAGGAGAAAATATTATTATTACTCCCATGCACATATTCTACCACAACAACAAAAAATTCTATCTTTCATTTATAGGTAGGTAGAAGAATTTCCATATGGAAGAGCTGTATATTTATTTATTATCTGCTTTGTTCTTTTTGGTTATTTTTAATATCATTTTTGTATGACTCAGAAATGCAAAGAACATATATTAGTGCAGATGTTCTCCTGAAACATGGCACATCCTTCCTTTAAATACAATCTTTACAGGTGTGCATTTGGTAAATCTGCCCCATGTGATTAAATATTAAACATTTAGCTTCTCGTGTTTAAACAATCCTGCTAGCATCAGAAAAATAAGAATATAAAACTGGCAAACACTTCTACAGGCAAAGAAGATGAGAGAGAAAATTTGATGAAAGCCTTATTTTCAAAGAGACGCCTGCAGCATGTTGCTGGAGGCAAGTTAACATTAGCTGTAGTCCTCTGTTTATATGGGATGTAGGTTTTCTGTTTTAGTTTGGGATTTTTGCCGTAGTTGAGAAGTAAAAATTATCTATGCCTCTAGTGCCTTTTTCTATACATCAATTCACTACTCCTGAATGTTAGTTTATTCATCCTTAAGATTTTTTAAAAAAAACAAAGTTACATTCCATCTTCACCTGGAGAGGTTTTAAATTATTTTGATTTCTTATGAAATGTGGTCTTTGCTTTTATCCCTTTCCCCATGAGGAAAAGAAGAAATCATGACTAAAGCAAACATAGAGGCCATTTTAGTATAAGTATTGCATATGTATGCCCTTTCTTAGCAAAGAGTATATATTTAAAATGGGATCAGTCATCAGATCCATGATGTAGAGTTTCAGGGCCGAAAGGGAGGAGACTATTGCAAAGTCATGGCGTAGAAATGTTCATTATGTATCTGCTTTACTTTCAGGGCATAACTGGTATGATTATGCAATGGCTAGAACCGCACAGAACAATGGTTCTCAACCTGTGGGTCCCCAGATGTTTTGGTCTACAACTCTCAGAAATCCCAGTCAGTTTATCAGCTGTTAGGATTTCTGGGAGTTGAAGGCCAAAACATCTGGGGACACACAGGTTGAGAATCACTGCCATAGAGGCTACCAATACTAATACCTGATTTTTAATTTATCCATCCCTGCAGTTTGTCCATTCTCTCACTTAGCCCTACCTACCATCAGCTTTATCTCTAGGTAACTTGGCGCTGTTTGCTTTTCATCATTTAAAGCAAGGCATTGAGGTTGATTAAAAGGGTGAGTGGTTCATAACACAGCAACTATCACCATTTGTAAGATGACAAGGAGTTGGCAACAAAGTCAAAAGGAGCACACCAGGTGGGCAGGTAGCTGAAGAACCCAATGCTCTTTTTCAGTCACTGGAAATAATTTGTATATACTAACACAATCATCTTCTACATTGGAGAAAAATGAAAAAAAGAAAATATGTCATTTGTTTTTAGTTTTAAAAATGCAGATTTTTATCTTTTTTTCTGTGGATAAAGGCCCGCCCATGGTGGGGTGTGGGTTTTGTTTTGTTTTGTTTTGTTTGAGATTTTTACCAAATTGAATTCTCCATTGTGTTGCTGAATATTTCTCTGCCATCAGATGAAGATCTAGAGAGGGTCTCCGGTATCAAATAGCTCACAGTACGCTGGCAAAACAAAAACACTGTCCAATTTTACTTTTCCAAATGACTTAAAGATGGCATGTTGTCTTTTTTTTACTCAAAGTATTAAAACATAAATCAAAGTATGGCTAATCAATTAACATGACTATCTCTGTGTTATGCTTCTATATGTATAGGACGTATATCTTTGTTAGTCACGGCTAATAGATATATGCTAAACTGTGTTAAATTTCAGTGATTACTTTGTTAGTTATTGCTTAAGCTGTTGTGAAGAGTGGATATGTCATCTGTCTGTTCCAGATGTGGTGCATGATATTTCTGAGATGCATTCTTGCTACCTTTTCATTTGTTTCTCCAGTTCTAGTCTCATCTTGATTTTTTTCATACATTAATATTTGGCTTTTCTTTCCTTCCATTTCATCTTTTCCTCCACTGCCTAAATCCTTCCACCATCATGGCAGAAGAAGCTATCACTCCTACACTTATTACCTGTAAGTAACTTATTTGTGCATCATCAGAGACATGCTTTCTGCCATGTTGTTCTTCTGTGCATGAATAGTGAATACTAATGATTTAACTTTCCTTGTGAAACTCAAAATACTTTCCAGCTCTGCTTGAAACAACAACATCTTCATATCATTGTGTTCAAATCCACTTTCCCTTTAAGCTTCCTTTGCCACGTACTGTGTGCTAGAGTGTTGTAATCCCTTCCCCCATTGAAAATAGCCAGTGGTGGAAAGCACTATTTCTAAAAAGTGCTTTTATAAAATAAGTCTAGGTGCCTGTAATGAAACGATATGTGGCCAAGTCCTGTGCATGTTTACATAGAAATTATTCCTATCAAGATCAAAAAGCCGCATTCCTAATTGAATGGACATTGGATTGTGCCATTAGATTTTTTTTCTACTTTTTTTGTCCATGTTGAAAATCTAGTGATGTATGTACATGTGCAACCATTTTCCATATATCCATTACTGTATACATTTTAATCCCATTCATAAACAAACATATTGCTTCAGTATCCTTAGATATTTTGGAATGGAGAGTTGTTGCCATGTTGATCACAGAAAATGAGATGTGCAAAATAAGAAGCATCTTATTTATGCTATTTGGATTCAAAATTTCAAGTGTTGCTTGTTCTTTTTTAAAAAAGACATAGTTTTAAACAGATGTGCCATTATTATATGGGATATTCCATCATAACCTATTTACTACCTTCCTCCAAACAATCCCGCTAGACAATGTCCAGTGAAGAAGTCATAATTGTTCCTTATGCATATAAATAACAGGTAGAGAATCATTACTGGCAAAGGATATGTTTTGCCCTTATGTCGGGGGTGAACCACCTTCCCAGGCCGAGATACACACAACAACCTGTAAAGGCCATCATTCCCCACACTCAAAATTCTAGATTTTTAAAAACATGTTTGAAACTTCATTGAAGAGGATTCCTCTACAATATCAAGGAATCCAGGGAGGCCATTTCTTCTGGTTTTGGAAAAAGCCACCCATCCTTGGATCAAAAGAGGTCAGAGTATCTAGACCTACCAAAATTGTCTCTCTTTGCATCTAAGTATGAAGGGGGACCTTTTCAGTCAATTAAAACATGAGAGTTCGTGGTCATGGGCTGTGGCTTGCCCATCCTTGCATTGATCCATACATGTAAGTATCCAGAAACAACTTTCTAATTATATGTGGAAACAGAATGTTGATCTGAATTGACTTTCCAACACAGCTCTTCTTGATATGATGCTCTCTGTGAACCAAAAGAACATTAGAGATTGAGACAAAATAATATTTTTACTAAGGTGTGGGTAAATTGCAGTATTAGGGCATATTGTTACATAAATAATTCAGCAGTCCTCTGAATTTCAGTGATCTTAATTATGTTTTCTGTGAATGTACGCCTCATTTGTAGTATTACATTGCAGCAAGTACTTGAAAAGTTCTGGGCACAAAGTATTTTGGATCAGTTAGATTTCACAGAGGTCCTTAGGTTCTGTAAAAATCAGATCACCATGACATTAGAATCGTAGAGTTGGAAGAGACCTCATAGACTATCCAATCCAACCAGTCCTGCCAAGAAGCAGGAAAATTAAGTTCTTGATGACATGGACAAATAATCTGAAATTGTTTGAGAATGGGATTGTCAATAAAACAACAGCAAATAACCTAGCCTGAATTTTCGCCAGACTATTCCTTCAAAAACCCTTACGGGTACAAACTGGTATTTTTTCTTTTCTTTTTTTTTAAATCCATATGCAGTAGGGAAATAGGTGTATTGTACACTGGGCTTTCTCTATAAATCTGCTTTTTTAAAAAAAGCTGGGCTCACTACACTCAGTTTGGGCTAGACAGCTATGTCTGCAGTCTGAACTTTGTCCAGCCACAACAGTGGAGTGATCTCTTTGAAAGCACAGCTATTCATGCACATCTATATTATTAGCCATCGTATGGCTCTCACCCCTTCAGTATCAGAGGAAACACACCTCTTCCACTGTTTCACTCATCCTGCCAGCTGGGTAAACAGGGAAATGACGAGATTCCTCTAGGAAAACAGTAGTGCACTATTCAGATGCTTTATAAGGCACACCTATACATAATTGGTACCTAAGAAGTCCAAGAGAAAACAGGCTTAGAGGATGTGCTGTAAGCCAACACAATATGCCACACCATAGTTGCCGGTCACAGGCCATAGCCATTCCAATATCAACCTGATACTTCAGCTTTGGGAAGCTTGAGCCTGGAGGAGCTAACCTTAACTCTGGTCCTCAGTTGGCAGGGTTTTGATCACTGAATTTTAGAAATGCTTCTTAAGGCCATATTATTCTGCATGGGGAAACCACAGCTTGGTAGGTAATTTATGTTGCTTAGAGACTGTAGTTTCATAACAAATTGAGCTGTTAGTTTTCAGGGTGATTTAATGAAATATTGAACCAAATGCCAAGGGCAGAACCGTGAGGAATGAGGTGAAAGTATATAAATCAGTGTGCAGTTAAAAGAAAAAGAAAAGGCAATAGATAGAGAAAATTAACTCAAAAGCCCTTGTTATTCATAAGTTTTAATACTCTTTGCCTCAGAAGAATTGAAACAAAATGCTCACGTCTCTGGAGTGAAATGTATTCATTTAGCCTACTACTATTAGCATTCCTAAATAATTATATTTCCATTTGAAATTTGAAATAGCAATCCCTTGAATTCTCTTTTAATCCTGGAGAAGATGCTTTGAGTGAAATACCTTTATTGACCTTATTCATGGGTGTTATGACTAGATTAATGATAATCTGCCCCAAGAGACTGTCTGTCAGTATTCTTTTGTATTTCCAGGAGGTAATCCATCTCAGCTTGAAACTTTTTCCTGTGACTTCTTCCTTCAAAGCATTTCTTCCCTACCTTGACATCATGGGAGAAAATACAGTTGTATCTCAAGATTAAGCAGCCGTCTGGTTTGGATAATTGGTGTCCAAATGGTATCAAACTTTTTTTGACTGGTTGCCACAGGATTTTTATTATTATTATTTTGTCGTGTCAGGAGAGACTTGAGAAACTGCAAGTCGCTTCTGTTGTGAGAGAATTGGCCGTCAGCAAGGACATTGTCCAGGGGACACTTGGATGTTTTGATGTTTTACTATCCTTGTGGAAGGCTTCTCTCATGTCCCCGCATGATGAGCTGGAGCTGATAGAGGGAGCTCATCCGCTCTCTCCCTGGATTCGAACCTGCGACCTGTCAGTCTTCAGTCCTGCCGACACAGGGGTTTAACCCACTGCGCCACCGGGAGCTCCCCGGTGCCACAGGATGCAATTCAGACATGTAGTGTTGATGTTTGGGTTTTTTCTATTATTTGTTTTCAAAACAAATGTTTGGCTTTTTTTGTTTTGTTTTTTTGTCGTGTCAGGAGTGACTTGAGAAACTGCAAGTTGCTTCTGGTGTGAGAGAATTGGCCGTCTGCAAGGACGTTGCCCAGGGGACGCCCAGATGATTTTGATGTTTTTATCATCCTTGTGGGAAGCTTCTCTCATGTCCCCGCATGAGGAGCTGGAGCTGATAGAGGGAGCTCATCCACCTCTCCCCGGATTTGAACCTGTGACCTGTCGGTCTTCATTCCTGCTGGCACAAGGGTTTTACCCACTGTGCCACCGGGGGCTCCAACAAATGTGTTGTGATTCCAGAGATAAGGAGGGCAGAGGAAAAACAATTTCTGTTAGTAAAAGGTCAGAGAGTATAATCCACTTTCAGTTGCCTTGTTGAGCTAACTGTTTTTCTGGGTATACATTTATATTTGTGAATTGGAATCGGGTATTTTCACAACAAACATCATATTCCACTTTTCTCCTAAACTCTCAGTTTGGAAGAGTAAGAATTTCTTTATAGCTTAAAGAAAGATGAACTTGTAAGAAATATTATCTTGCAAAGAGCTGAGTAATTTCCAAGATATGATATAATTGGTACCTGATTGAGACAAACTTTAGTTTTACCTTTTTGCTATCATTTTATGATTGATAGATGTCAATCATGGTCACCTTTCTCACAGAGGCCCTAGAAGCAGAATGTGTAAAAACCATGAACTGTACATCAGACAACCATGTCTGAGCTGTCAATTTACCATAAATAAAGAAAAACATAGACTAACTCTGATGGCAACCACTGAACTCTCCCTAGTTTCAAGAACGCTGGATGGGTGAAGAAAACTTTGGCAAAACCGCTGCAGGTCACACATTACAGATTCCAGGCATACTTTGTCGTTTGCAAGTTAGAGGGAGAAATCACACAGACCAAACACTGTGTTTGTATGTATGTGTGAATATTTGTGTGTTGTTTCTGTTTTAACTGGGCAGTTGCAGTCGCTCCCATTCTTTCCCCTCCTTCCCTGCCATCCCGCATATAGCAGGTATGGACAAACTTTTTTGCCTTGAGACCACATTGTGGGCCTGACGTGGAGGACTGGATCAGGAGGGAGGGGGCTGGGTGGGCAGGGCCCTGGAGAGGGAGGGGTCAGGGCAGGGCCTGGGTCATCCTCAGGTTGTCCTCCCAGCATAAGGACAGGTCTGGTCGGCACATCCTTATGCCGGGAGGAAGGCAGGACATGCAGCGACTGCCCCAATCCTCCCCCTCCCGCAGATTCTCCTCTCCATCCTCCTCCCCTGATCTTGAGGCTGTCCTCTTGCCATTTTGTCGGGAGGAGGGTGAGACAGGCGGTAGCTGAGAGTGCTCTGGAGGGCTCTCAGCCACCGTGTACCTTCTTCGAGCCATCCTCTTGACATAAGGATGGGGCTGCTCGCACTGTCCTTATGCCAGGAAGAGGGCAAGACACATGGTGGCTGAGAGCGCTCCAGAGGGTTCTCAGATGCTACGTACCTTTCTCCCCCATCTTTTTGGCATAAGGACTTGGCAGAATGCTGTGTCCTTCTACCAAGAGGACAGGGAAAATGAGGAGGGCCTGAGATAAGCATCCAGGCGGTTGCATCTGGCCCCCAGGCCTTTGTTTGCCCA